TATTCCCTGACAAGTAGTCAGAAAATCTTTCATATCCATCTGAAAAATGGGATCTTTTGGATTTGTCTTGTATTACAGTAGATGTGAAAAAATAATGAAGGTAGTACCGATAACCCTCCAAAAAAAAAATGTAAATAAACACATGTTTCGACAGTACAGCAAAATTGGCCATATTATTATAAAGAATAGTATGAGAATATACAATTTCAAGAGCTAAAGTTTAATATCAAATGCTTGCAGTACAGTACACCACGTACAGGTAGATAGTGGTGAAACAGGTTGTTTACAAATCTACAAACCAGAGTTTCTGTCTTTCAATTTTTTTTTTCTAGCTTAAATACGGTGTCTTGGCATGAAACTTGTTTATTTTTTTTTCTCCAGTAATAGATTAAATAGATACAAAGAGATACATTTAACAAGAACCCAGTAGATAGCACTAAAGTGACATGTATCAGGCTCCCTTGCAGCTTTTTAAAGCTGTTAATGTTGGATATTCACCATTGAGGCTTGTATTGTCCTGAAATTGAAAAATACCCTTCACTCAAACTTGTTACAGTATGTATCTAGCTGAGTTTTGCCTTACAGTATACATGAATATATTTTCATCAAAATATACAAACAGTGTAGATAATTGTGAAGATTAAAGATTGTGTACCCCTCCAATTTATCTCACAGAAATAAGAATAATATTAAATACAGTAAATCTACATTTAAATATTACTTAATTTGGTATGTTTTTTTTAGATTGATACTTTAACAGCAAAATATTCTAATCTAACTATCTGTCGTTGCTATATAAAAGGCTGGAAACTTAATAGAGACCCCCAGCTTTGGAAACAGTACAGTATAGGAAAGATGCTTTTCACAAAAAGCGGACAAAGTTTAACATTAAAAAGCACGCCATCTGTCATACTGATGTGAAGTTACCAAATAAATTCTAAAAAAAAAACAAAAACAAAAAAACTACTGTAATACTGTACATTCATTTTTCACTAAGAAACCTTTTATTGTACCTTGTAATGTCTTTTAGGGTCTTCTCATGACAAGGGTCTGTACAGTACAATCTAGACTTGACCCGGGCTAATCAATGTAAGATATTCTAAAAAAATTGTTAATTTTTGTAAATATTTTTGCATAATTATGTTAAGCCCATCAAAGCTTTGGCATATTGTGCTTCAGAAAAGAACATTATTATTACTACAGTATTCCGAAATTAAAATTAGCTACCATTACCATGCTTAGTAGATAATAGGATTGGTATTAAAAAGCGATTTGTGGCAGACAATGGATGGAATTAGCTTAACTACTGTACCATTTTGTAAGGAACAATTAACACGATCAATACAGTGGCAGTACAATGGTGTTTACTGTATGGTAGGCAACTAGCCTGTGGCCTGCTAAACTGTACAGTAGGCCTACGGTATGGTAATGGTAGCAAACTAAAGTGGTTGGACAAACCGCAGATCCTATACAAACCATGGCTCCAATAAACATAACACATCTTATAAAAACTTATAATTCACATAATTATTTTTAAAGACATACATATTTAATCACATATTATGTTATTTAAAACTAAAGTACAGAAAAGCACAGCACAGATTAATAGATTCATAAAGTGGGTTTTGCATTTTTCTGTTTTTGTCTACAGTTACAGTACACCTCCAACAGAAGATAATATACAAACCAGGTAATTATTCATTTTCTTATTGACCAGTTATGGAATGGATCTGTTATTGCAAATATCTGAATTATATATTATCACCATCCAATTAAAATGAATTAAGAAAGAAATAGGAGTAACCACACAATAATCAACACATTCAACATTATAATTTTCTCAGTGTAATAAAAAATAAATTGTGTGAATACAATGGCAGTAGGTACATAATATACTGTACACAGAATTCACATTGAATTGTGATTTATAATTTAGTTTACATTAAAAACTTAATTTATGAAAATATTAGAAAATAGGAAGATTTTGATAATTGCTTTTATTGAAATGTGCAGTACAGTAGATAACATTATTCTTTTACATAATAGTACTAAATATTCACCTTAGCTTAGTTGTTGAACATCCATACATAAATTAGTACCCAAAATTTATAAAAAGAAAAACACGTAAAATATAATATTATATGTTTTTTTGATAATTTCAGCCGCACCAGTACGGCCTAATTATAAATCAACAAGAAATAAACTGAGCGCGGTTATAAATAATACAGTGAAATATATCTTATTATAAATTAACAAAAAGAAATTTACTGAGAGCGGTTATAAATATACAGTGAAGTATATCGCTCAAACAGCTGTTACCCAGTACAAAAGTACATAGCCACTGATGTCGGCACGTAGGCTGAACCTAAATAAAGTTAAGTGTCGAATGACAAGAACATCATTTTGAATAACTACAACACAAGCTATTCAGCTTGGTAATCTTTAGCAGTATTGTCCTTTTAGTATTGTCTGACCCACAATACAAATTGTATATCAGAGATACATTATCAACAAAACATTGCTTTTGTCTGCTGGTAACTATGTCAGTAATTTCCACAATAACAGTTACCAGTTAAATATGAAGTGATACTGTATGTTCCTATTTTAAGTACTGTACCTGTATTGTTATATCTTTGAAACGATTAAAAAAGCTCCACACAAAAGGAAAATTTATGTACAGTAGGATGAAGTTTTCAACATCAATCTATCCAATTCAAACATAAGGATTAATATTTCATAGCTATATTTTATACCATTGTGACAATGAAGTTTTATCGTATTGTATAAGAAATCAACAACAATCATATTATATTGTCATATTATTCCTGCACTTTTGTTATAATTAATTATTACATTTATATTAATTCAGTTTGTTTTAGGTTTAAGTGAGGCACATTATGACAGTGCATTGTGTGATAAATAAGCAGATTTATTATTAAATTTAAAGATTGTAAAAAAAATAAAGTGACAATATATCATGTGAAAACCATTTTGAGATAAATGTAGGATATTATTATTATGCTACATGCTGGGGAAAAAATTCACAGATGTCACAATTTTCTTGAGGGGTCAATAATCTTCCTAGAATGGAAACTGGTTGAGGTCTGTTTACTGGGTAGCTTTCAAATAGAATAGGGATTACAGCAAGAATTCCCTCTGTCTGCTATATATTTTGTGTATCCACAAGCCATTGATGTATAATAAAGATGTTAACCACAGGTTCCTTTATTGGGGAGCGTTCGATTTGCGCGAAAACACGACTCTAGAACTGATTCAATCATGCATGACCATCCTACATTCTCGGCACAACGTAGATCTGGCGTCCTAGAATCCACACGACAAGCAGAACTTGTGTATGCAAATCCATGTTAATGTCAGACAGATCCCAAACAGGCTAATGTTATTTCATGTTTTTACAATGGGTGCACATTGGAATGAGTCTCCTTTTTAGCTTAAAGGTTAAATTAGATCTGGAAAAATCATTGAACCCTCCACTCCACCCATGCATCTCCCATAACCCCAACATTTAAAGATTCCTACAGTAGATATACAACTGCTTCTTGTGAAAGCAAAATGGAATGGGATACTGTATACTGTACATGATTCAGGATAACATATGAAATCTTCAAGCATGGTATCTTTTTGAATTAACGTCACTATATGATACAAGGAAATTGTTTCACACTTTATGTTTCATATTACTTTCAACAAAACAATGGTTGATGCCAGGCTTGGGTGGGATAAAAAAAATATATTAAAAATACTGTACCCCAGTTTTTTTAAATGATTAAAAAAAATTGTATTTCAACCATTCCTTATTATATTTTTAAACATCCCTTCAATGTTTTCAACTGTACTGTACATAAAATATCTATTTTCTTATGGAGGGGCCTGGCATTGGATTAGGGTCGTAGCGGCAGCGAGGGAAAGCTCAAAATGTCTGGAACGCCAGTAGCGTTATACCGATTGATTGGGATACGGTACAGCGTTGGTCAATAGCGTTTATATCGTACTAGTCAATTCTAGTATGTTTCACTCAGATTTTATTTGATCAGGCAAGTGTTTCAAAATAAAGAGAAATGTATAATTTTCATAATTGAATATTTTTTATTTCTCGTTGTCTTCTTGGCCCTGGTTAATTAAAGATCGATTTGTTTACAGATTGATTACAGATTGAAACAATCTTGTATGTACATGAAATAATTGAATTATGATATGATTAAATTGATATTATATGTTATCAGTTCAGATTTTTATGTATAATGAACTTTTGTTTTATATTTCTTTCAGGACACAAACGGATTCAAACATGGGATCTGTCAATACTAAATTTACAATGTAATAAAATTTGATGAACGTGAAAAACATAGGTCTACACTTAGTGATACTGTACATTGTTGTCATTATTATTATTAATTTATTATTATTATTATTACTATTATTATTAGTATTATTGTTAATAATTATCAATCATCTTCAAATGCAATGACAAACAGATGTTCATTCACTAAAGAACAAACTGAACACAAGTTAGTGAAATTCGAATAAACTAAAGAAGCGATTTAAAAATTACCATCCGTCTCTGTAAGAAAATACTGTACAAATTGCTGCGTATCGACTCGCAGCCGCTCCGATCATACTCCCTGGCATTAACGTTTCTTTTTTATCTGACTCCTGTAGTTATGATGATTGATACAATTTACAGTAATAATAGTTTGAACAATGTTGAGCTATAGTTCCCCATGATATGAGCTAATAATGTACTTTGTACTTCTGTATCTGCATCATGTTTTTTTAAACAAACAACTCAAAAACGAACAAATAGACAAAAATGTGATTAGAGACTATAAATATAATATCGGCCCTCGCCATGCTGCCGTCAGCCTTAACTTGCTTGAAAAATTATTTAAAGTATCAAACTTGAAATGGATCTTTTTACAATAGTTGCTATGCCAGTTATATTATAACAAAATATAGCATGTCCAAACTGTCCAACTTACCAAGATTATGGATTGTGAAGTTCCTCGGTGGCTTTAGTACTCTCCTTGAGAAAGCTTCTCGTAGACCATCCAGTCCCTTTTCTGTTCCTTGCACGAATAATGTTCCAGGTTCAAACCAGCCTAAATAAGTTAATTCCCTCATGGATTCAGCGAGCGGTTTGTTCCATAAATTAAGTTTGTTCTCACGCTGAAAGTCGCGAAAGACATCACGGCCAGTCCCGCGACGGGACGCTTTCTGCCCGATGTCACTATCATCTCGACTGGTTACTGGGGCTAAAAGGATCGCAATAGAACCTCCAGTTACAGTAACACATTTACCACCCCGTCGCAGTTCTGATGCACTGTTTCGTTGAGCCATTGTTTTTTCAGATCATTACCAAGTAATCTTTACAATATACATCAACCCTGTTCCATAACTTTGCTGCTATTTCCTGTCATAAAATCCTCGTTCCCCCTAATAATACCACCGCTTGCTCGATCTGCAAATACTCGGTACTCTCTCATAAGTTAGCGAACGCTGGTCTTTGTAAGTATATTACAACATAGAGGGCGCGATTCTATTTCACAAAACCAGGGAACAAGTTTTGGATTTCCTATAATATGCAATAGAGGATAACATAGGAAATTATTTCTCTACTTTTTTACTTTTCTTATTATTTTTTCTATATGACCTTTTACTGATTTTTTAAATGACATGGTCTGTGTTACTTTACTTGCGTTCACATCTAGATATGTCCTGATGTTTATTCATACAATAGGTTGTATGACATTTGTTTAATACTTTCCTTGCGGTGCCTTTTTTAATTTGAATTGTTCATAACTATTTTTATTTCCCGTAAGAAATATTAAGTTAGTAAAGTTATTGCCTATATTGCCGGTGAAAATGTTATAGAAGAAATGTTGCTGTAATTGGAAATGTATTCTTCCATAGGCCAATATATCCAAAATTCACGAAAACCTATCTAGGGGAAATTTTGATAGGAGCCTTTGAATTTTATTAGGCTTTATGTACAATTTTCAGCTATAATTTTAACATGGGTATAAGTTCACTCCCGACTTTTAGTAAGATGTTTGGTTCTAAGCAGTGGTGGCCCTGAAAATAATATTTGAAAGGAGTAGGTACAATAGCTCAACATTAAACATTCGAACCAACAGGCCGTCCTACAGCCTCGGTCAGGGTCCCAGAATGAAATTCCGAGATGGGGGTTTCATTAGATTTTATGGTTTATTAGGGTGACCCAAAATTGTGGTTTTAAACCACAATGTAAAACATTGGCAATCAAAATAACTTTGTGGATTAACAAATTAATATTGTTAATCCGACAACCTTTTGGTGTCAGGTGATGTGAGAAGATCCACGTTACCTGTCTCAGGAGAAAAACCCCCCCCCCACCCCAATGGCTCCACGTTCGTAGTTAAATGTCTGTAAATCAGCTAAGAAAACAACTTTCTTTTCGATCTGTGTCTGGTTGGTAGTTAATAAATTATTTGATCTTTCATAATACAAATTGAAAAACGTAATTGAATTAAAGACTCCCCCACCCCCACCAATGGTTGTAGATTTGACTGTATGAGAGACCTATGCTAGACCACCTGTGACAACTATATAATATAGGCTAGCCATATTTTCCGAAAGTCATATAGGGTCACTAATGATGCATGTATCATTAAAAGCTAAATATGAATTAGGTCTATAAAATAACAGTTCAGATACGATTATGAAATATATTGTTTTCCTGACCGTATTCAACGAAGTTTACATACTTTTATGCTTCTCTCTGTTATTTTCTAATGCTGCATGGTATAATGTCTCTACCCTTTAAGGCTTAGTCTTTGTAACGCATAGCCTATTTCTTTTTTGTTATTTATTGTGTTTCACAGTGGCGTAGAAA